ACACTTGCCATTAAACTTGTACTTCTTGGTTTCTCCTCCCTTAGATAACATTTTCTTCTGCCATCTTTTATATTCAGTTCCTAAGAACTTCTCTGATTTTTCACTATGATTCACTGGTACAGTCACAACAGAAGGAAGGGTTGGCGCAATTGTAGCCACCATACCAGTACTAGTTTGAACATTAGTTTGACCAGTTTCTGTAGCCATGAATTCTAAATTCTAAAACAAAATTATGATTAGAATTTTATACTACACAGAAAATTAAACCATAAACATAGAATTTTTAAATTCTGTAAAATAAAAGAAACAAGAATTGTAACTTTTATTTCCAATTAATTTGAAAATAAAATAAAATTTTATTTAACTAAATTAATTCCACACAGAAAATTTAAACCAAGACCACAAAATTAAATTTTCTTAAAATAAAAGAAACAAGAATTGTAACTTTTATTTTCAATTAATTTGGAAATAAAATAAAATTTTATTTAACCAAATTAATTCCACACAGAAAATTAAATTTCTGTAACACTTTAATAATTAAAATACTGAAACAGAATTTTAATTAATGAACACTCAGAAATAATTTCTGAAAACCAAAATTAATTTCTAACAAAATTTCACAAATAAATATTCTGAATTGTTAATGACACCAGTATATTACTACTAGTTGTCAAAGAAAATAGACAGTATATTACTACCATCTGTCAAATAGTATATTACTACTATTTTTTTTCCAACCAGAATATTATTTTATGAAATCACAGAAAATAATTTCTGTAAGAAGAAGAAAGAAGAAAGGAAACAATCGAAAAATTCTGTATAAACAGAATAATTCGAATCTGTCTTAAGATTGTCGGAACAATCTTCTGTGTAAAAAATAAATTGAAACTAAATCAAACAAAATAAAATAAATAACTTATAGAATTTATTTTAGCGAACATTGAATAATAAAAGATCAAGTCGAGTGTAAGACACTTTGTCCTTAAGACAGATTCACCCTGCTACGGTGCTTACGGTTAAGTGGTGTCTATCTCCTAGGATACAATGATCTTCACAAATTGTAGTAGCACTCCAAACAATTTATACGGTGAACTAGAACCTGTGTTCTATACTCTCTAAATTTTTTCCTAAAATGGTATGAAGAATATATGTAACAGAGCAAAGATTGGCCAGCAAAAAGGAATTTTTTTTTTCAGATTGTTTTTGGATCCCCAAAACTGCTGGAAAATGCTAGAATTTATAGGCCAAATGATTTGTCCGAACAGGTGCTGATTTTGAACTGAACAGGTATAAAAAAACCTTGAACAGATACAATTTGAATCCTTGGACAAATCTGCAACTGCTACAGTTATAAAACTATCCAGATTTTGAATCTGTCTGGATAGTTATGAATCTATCCGGATTTGAACAAATTGAAAAAACTGTTTGGACTGAAAAATCTGTTTGGGTTCCAACAGATCTGAAAACTGTTTGGACGATTTAACCTGTTTGAAAAAATTGGACTGGAAGAGGAAACATTAGATAGAAAATTAAATTCAAGTTTGAATTAATTTCATTAAGAATTTTGGAAAAAATTTAAATAAATTTCCTCAAAAAAATTATTATAAGAACCGACCTGACCCACAATCCACACCTGTGCCCGGCAAGGCCGGATGGCGGCGGTGCACGTGTGTGGTGGTTTGGGCGAAGGTTTACTTTGTCCATAACTCTTCCCTTCTACAAACTTGGGGTGCCCCTTGGGACCCAACCCAAATGTTGTAATCTAGAGCTTATTTACATACAAAAGCTCTCTTAAAGTTTCAATGTGGGACAACCCATTTCAAGGAAACCCACATTTACTTCTTTAATTGTCCATTCCATGAACCCGAAAACGATGTCAAGTTCCTATTCACTCATAAATGGTTTTGACGAACCGTCTTCACCGTGTGACTTGCCATGTGGCAAGGAACACGTCACCTCTTCGGACACACCACAAAAGACGTTTGGGGCCCACTCCATTTTGGACTCAAAGATGGCCCAAAATAAGCCTAATAAAACCAAATTTTCCAACATGATATCCCTTATATATATAGAGGAATGATCCATGAGATGCATAACAAAGATGACAAATTTATGTCACAGATATGAGATCTTCTGCTCTCAAACTCTTTGATTTTCAAATCTTTGTATTTTCTTGTCTTTGAACACTCAAAACTATTCAATTATGTTTGAAGATTTTGATATATTGAAATTCCTACATTATCCAAAGGTTGTAACTATTTTGGGACAAAAAGGCATAGTGATTTTTTTGAAACTTTCTACATTTAAGGAACAATAATCACGTAACCGTGGAAAAGATCAACAAGACAATAAATGGTAATTAAAATTGGCTTAACTTGTTGAGTTTGATTTCTGTTTTTTCATTGATAGTTCCGTAAAAGCTAGGAGAAAATCAACTCAAGGGTTTTCTCGAGTTAAAAAGAAAAGAGAAATGTCTCAGACCTCTAATTCAAGAGCACGAATAGCTCTAATGTTGGTATGGGTCCCACATGATGGGATGTTTTGCTCTTGTGTTTTTTTTTTTTTTTTTTTTTTGATTTTCCAACTCATTAGAGCTGATTTAGTGATCCAAATTTAGTGGTACCAATCATTGTTGAAAAGAAAAATGGAATGTTTGTTTGCATATTTAACCTTTCTTCATGAATAAGAGCATACACCATGCTCCTTATTTTTTCTTCCTGATGGAATTTTAACCTCCAAAAATTCTCATAGAAATAATCGGGTCTCTATATTCTTTAATATTATTTGTGGAATGATTGTATAAACCCTAAACAAACCCTAAACCTTAAAATAAAAGATAAAACAGATTTTATATGATTTTTTTACTATTTGACACAAATGTTTAGTGAAACCCATATTTTTGTGTATTAAATAAAAAATTCATTCATATATATTTGTACGTCAGAGAGAAAATTCAAAGAGCATGCACAAAATCATTAAGGTAAAAAAAAAAAAAAAACATGGCGGCCATTATGTCTTGAAAATATATAAGTTTCGTTTGGAGCCACTTTTTAAAATCCTTACTAAGTATAAAAATTCTTTTTAAAAACTTTTTTTTTTTTTTTTTTTTTTTCACTTTTATGCTTGATAAAATTATCGAAAGGCATTCCTTCAAAAGTCAAGAGCTGTGAAAGTCTGTTTCAAAGGCGTTACGCAAAGTGAATTTTGAAATTCTATTCAAATCCACTTCCTACAAATTGAGCCAGGTCATTAAGAGAAAATTCGAAACTACTTTTCATTTAAAAAAGAAAAAGAAAAAAGTACACTCTTTGTTTATCTAGCCTTTTTTTTTCCCATATATTTTAACATTACTTTTTATTTTACCAATTCATCCAAACAAACTATTTAAAGAGTCTCTCTTAATATTAAAATAAATATTGTATTAACTAATCTATTATAACAAATTAAATAAAATGAGACTAGTTATAATAATGAACTGCCATCTTTTAAAAACTTTGTTAAAGATGTTTTTAATAGATTCCAGTCAGTTTCCGATGCTTTTAAAGATGCTTTTAACAAGGGTGGAATGTCCAGTGGGGATGTATCAATTGTGATAGAGACCCCTACACATAAAAGATCCCCACAACCCCCCACTCTCATCCCAACCACACATACATAAATGGACCCCCACACATCAAGGGCCAAGAAACCCCCAAAAAAGGGGTCCGAAACATTTCTCTAGCTTCTTAAATGGAATGGGTTTTGGGGTTTAAAACTCTTAAAGAGTGGACTAAAATAGGGCAACTATGCTCAGACACCTTCGACCAATAAGTAAAAAAAAAAACAAAGCTGCTACAGACCTCGAATATAATTGGCGCGAATGGCGCGAATGAAGCGATTTATCCATTCATCACGCACAACAATACCAGTGGATTTCACGCTCTGCTTCTTGGGAGATAGAAAGACCACGACGTAGCTGGCGACGATGATGACGACCTAGAAGACCACCGGTGACCATTGACCACCGTCTACCACTCTCCAATTCCTACGATTTCACTGAAAATTTCGGCTCCACCACCAACAACGAACTGATTCGTGGGTCACTGGTCTTGCTTCAAACATTGACATTTGCTTTACATTGGTTGAAATCTGGTTGGTTTTTCTTTACATTGGTTGTAATCTTCTTGGTCCATAACAAGATTTTGGTATTTTTGTATTGATGCATTGTATGTGCTTGTTGAAAGTCCACATAGAAAGAATATGTAGAATTTCTGAGGCCAAGATGCTCTGTGTTTGTGTTAGAATTTCTGAAGCAGAATCCAATAGTATATCCAAGGAACCATTGTCTCTATGACTATGAACCCCTCACCATTCTTCTTCTTGTATGTAGAATTTCTGAGGCCAAGATGCTCTGTGTTTGTGTTAGAATTTCTGAAGTAGAATCCAATAGTATATCCAAGGAACCATTGGCTCTATGACTATGAACCCCTCACCATTCTTCTTCTTGTTTGGTTCTGATCCCACCTAACTTGTTTGCTTCCATCTTGACAATTGCTAAATGAACCAAAGTCTATATAGAATTCTATGACCACATTTTTTTGTCATTTTCTGAACATTCATTGAACAAAATCTGTTACCCATTATGAATTTTGTTTTTTGTTTACATACGTATCCATTATGAATTTTGTTTTTTGAACAGAATATGTTATCCATTATTTTCTTTACATATGTGTTTTTTTGTCTTTGTTTTTTGTTTACATACGTATCCATTATGAATTTTGTTTTTTGAACAGAATATGTTATCCATTATTTTCTTTACATATGTGTTTTTTTGTTTTTCTTGCTCTCTTTCATTATGAATTTTCCATGCCAATTATTTGTTGTTTTTCTTGCTCTATTTTGTTTCATTGTTAATTTTTCATGGATTATTGAAACCTTCTCCAAGCTTAACATTATTGGTTTGTTATTCATTGTGAAGCTATTATCCATTTTCTTATTGAGACATTTTCTTCAAATAAGGGATGGAAGGTTCAAACAATCCTACTCAGGAAGGTGAAGAACCCGAGAGTGGTGAAGTTGAAGAACCAAAGCAGGGGATGTGTTTTACTTCAAAGCAAGAAGTGTATGCATTTTATGCAAAATATGCGAAGCACTTTGGATTTGCTATAGCTTATGGAACACAAAATTATGATAATGATGGGGAACTAAAATATTTTGGAATTGAATGTACTCGAGCAAGGATGAGAAGAAAAAGATCGGAAGTAAACCCGCTAGAACCATCTTTGTCATCTAAAAATGATTGTAAAGCAAAAGTAAGAGGGAGTCTACAAAAGGATGGAACATTTAAGTTGACAACCGTTGTGCTGGAGCATACTCACGACTTGGTTCCTAGTGACTCACGGCATTTTGCAATGAATAAGAGAATTCTAACTCCTGTGAAAAGAAGATTAGAAATAAATGATGAGGCAGGGATAGGAGTGGCTAGGAATTTTCATTCTATGGTTGTTGAAGCGGGGGGATTTGAGGCATTAACATTTGACGAACGAGATGCCAGGAATCACATTGACAAGGCTAGAAGATTGAGGCTTGGAGTAGGAGATGCCGAATCAGTTGCGTTTTATTTTCATAGGATGCAACAACAAAATTCGAACTTCTACTCTGAAATGGACTTTGATGGAGAAGGACGCTTGCGGAACTTATTTTGGGCAGATGCAAGGAGTAGGGCAGCTTATAAAGCATTTGGAGATGTTGTCACATTTGACACAACCTATCTGACAAACAAATATGACATGCCGTTTGCTCCATTTGTAGGAGTTAATCACCATGGGCAGTCAATTTTGTTTGGTTGTGGGTTGTTATGTAATGAGAACACTGAGACATTTGTATGGCTATTCAGAGCTTGGTTAAGTTGCATGTCAGACACTCCTCCGAATGCTATAATAACTGACCAGTGCAAAGCTATGCAAAATGCCATACAAATTGTCTTCCCACAAGCTCGACATCGTTGGTGTTTATGGCATATACTGAAGAAAATTCCGGAAAAATTGAGAGCCTGTTCGCAATATGAATCCATAAAGTTTGCTTTGCAAAAGGCAGTTTATGAGTCTTTCACAAAAAATGAATTTGATGAAGAATGGCAAGCAATGATTGCAAAGTTTGGTCTACATGATAACGATTGGTTGGGGGGATTATATGATGAGCGACATAGGTGGATTCCTGCCTATGTGAAAGACATGTTTTGGGCTGGTATGTCAACCACACAACGAAGTGAGAGTATGAATGCATTTTTTGATGGATATGTCAACTCGAAAACTACTTTAAAGCAATTTGTTGAGCAGTATGACAATGCCTTAAGAAGTAAGGTGGAGAAAGAGGCCAAAGCAGATTTTAAATCTCGAAACAAATTGTATGATTGCCTAACGATGTATGCTTTTGAGAAGCAATTTCGTGCAGCATACACAAACACAAAATTTAAAGAGGTTCAAGTAGAAATGAAACGATTATTGTATTGTCATGCGACTCTTGTGGAAGAGAAAGGATCAATTTGTACTTATCATGTGAAAGAGGCTATTCCAGTTGGTGAGCAAATGAAGAAAGTGGAATTTGTTGTGTACTGTAATTCCATTGAATGTGACATCCAATGTATGTGTCGGTGGTTTGAATTTAGGGGCATCATGTGTGCCCATTCACTTAGTGTGCTCCTTGAGAGGTCCACATATGAGGTTCCGGATAAGTACATTGTGCAGAGGTGGAGAAAAGATTTGGAAAGAGGGTACACATGCATTCCTACCACATACACTACATATGGGGTTGTTCTGAATGCAAAGGTACATGATAACTACCACAAGACAATGGATGAAATTATAGAAATTGCTTCCAACGATGATGCTAAGCACAAAGTCATTCAACTTGGGTTAATAGAAATCAAGGATAGAGTGAGACAGGTTGAGGCCGGTTGTGCGAGTAATTTGCCACCTTCTACTAGTGGTGTCCCACATTCTACTAGTACTGTCCAACCTTCTAATACTTCCCCCAAAACTCAGGCCGGTCGTAGTTCTACAAATGCAAGCATGACTCACAAGGTGCTTAGTCCTATGGTTGCTCGCCGAAGAGGTCGTCCATGTACAAAACGGAAAGTTAGCAAAGTGGATGAAATAGTAAATCGGTTGAAGGGGAAGAATAAAAGGGCATCAAAAGTACAGGTAAAATTTTTATTTTGTTTGATATGTAAATCTCAGAATTTTGTTTACTTCAATCACTCACCAATGTGTGTTCCTATAGGGTCGTAAGTTGAATTTTGCTTCTATGGATGGAATGCAAGCGAGTCCGTGTATTGATGGCACACAGGAGAGTATGTACGTACCGGTATGTTTTAAACATATGACATGAAATTTTTTTTCCTTATTTTCATTTGTAGATATATTTGTGAATTTCTTCATATTATTTACTTTGTCATTGAATAGGCACAAGGTAGCCCAATGCAAATGGTGGATAATATTGGAAGCGGATCTGTTAGTCATTCACGAATGGTCACCAATATAAGCAGTCAAAGTGGACCAATTGGTTCAAAATTTATTGAGTTGAATATAGATGTGGATCCAAATGCCCCTTTCTATTTCTAGTTTTTTAGTAGTTATTGTAAGACTTTGTTTTGTAAACTTTCAATCAAGTCTCATATAGTTTAAAGTGATTTTGGATCCAATCAAGTCTCATATGGGGCTGTTTTGTCAAGTTCTGTTACAGGTCTGAGCATAGCTTCCTGGTTGGTACTTTTCTACTTTGCTGAGCATCTGCTGCACTGCTATACTTTGATCCTTATCTGCTATGCTGCCTGCTGTTCTGCTGTGCTGCTATAGGCTTTGTTCTGCTGTGTTCTGTGCTGTTGCGGATCTGTTGTGCTGTGTTGCTATATGCTTTGTTCTGCTGTGTTGTGTTGTGTTGCTGCTGCGGATCTGTTGTGCTGTGTTGCGTTGTGCTATGTTGTGCTGTCTCATATTGTGTTGTGCTGTGTTGTGTTTAGGTTCCCTATTGAACAGCTTGTCTTCTTGCTGGATAAATGTTTTTAGAGCAATGAATTTTTGGGGGAAAGGTTGAATGCATAATCTCTTTTTAATGCATTTCCTGTTTTTAGGTGCTGTGAATTTTTTAGAGCAGTGAATTTTTTAGTATGAATGCATTTCCTCTTTATTGGTTACTTGCTCTTGGCCTGTGCATGTTTGGTTCTTATTCTGGGTTTTTGGCTTGAGAATGATGCAAATTTTTTGGACCCATTCTGCATGTCTTGAGCCAATTGGTGAGTGTCATTGTGGTCCAAGGATCCAATACAAGTTGAATGAGTATTATTTGATGTTTGAATGTTAAATACATAATTGGTGCATCATGTATGGAGATTGGAAGAATGACAGTTTAATGTTAACAAACATAATTGAGCATTGTCAAAATTGTGTATGTGACTAACCTTATTCAGAGTTACTACATCATACAGATTGTTTGATATAGGAGGCAAACTTAGAAACAAAGCAAATTGTTGTCCAGCATTCTTTAAGGGTACAAGTTCTTGGCATCTCTCTTTCTATCTCTCTAAATTCACAGAACTTGATCTACATAGCCCACCCAGGAGCACTGAGATTAGCTTAGAAAATAATAATGAAATGAAGGTGGCATTACCTATGATTTTTAGATTGTATTAGAACAAAATCCAAAACAACTTCAAAACTCCTACCATCTGCCTCTTCTACATATCACTCAAATATGATTCATGATAATAATAACAGATGATTGAAGTTAGATGTGATGATCATTGATCAGAGGCACAATAATATATAAATTAAATATCACACCATAATATATAAATTAAATCCTTCACATATTAAATTGGTTTTTCAGAATCTTTTTGTTTACACCATTTTTTCCTTTCTTTATTTCAGAATTTCAGTTCAAAAATAAGACAAGGCAGCCTCTAAGCTACTTCCTTGATCATATAACCCAAAAGGAGAAGAACACAAAACCAGCACAATAACATTTACAACCAAACAAAAACTCCATTGTTGCTTTGCCATAGAAGGTTCAATTCCTTACAAAACCAGCATAATAACTTGTACACCCAAATGTATAACTTTACAACATTCATTTTAACATTAAACAAATTACAAGCATTAGCATGTTAAAACCAGCACACATTATGCTTGCCATTGTAAGGAATTTCATAGTTCCTACATTTGCCTCAAGCTGCTCCAATCTTCGCTCCAATCTTCGCTCCAATTTGTCCAAAGCTTCATAGTTTCTTTCAGCATCATTCTTCCAGTCATCTTCATTGTTCCTCTGACTAGGATTAGGCCTCCATTGGATATCCGCTGCATTGCCATGTTGGCTAGTAGGCGCCCACCATGCAAAGAAATCGCATTTGCCATCTGCACACTTGAAATAAAGCCTCCCTGGATTTTTCACTGAGTTTGATATCTTAACGGCTGCTTTTTTCTCACATTTGCAACGTCGATTTTCAAAAAGGCGACCATCATTGCTTGAACTAGTCGAGGTGTAAGCCATTGACATGTTACTCCTAACAGTAGCATTTTCATAAATAATTAGTACATTAGTCATCAAAAACAAAAACAAAAACAACAATAATAATGTGAAATGGTCCATGGAAGCACAAAACATTTCATTGAGGCATTTTATCATACACTTTCAATTCTCACATATGCCTTCAATTCATCATTTCAATAGGTTGATTTTTCTTCCAAAATCACAACACATTTCAGCATGTTGATGCATTACTAACAAGTTTACATTTTTTTTACATACTGAATTTTATCATTCATTTTCTTACATGAATGAGAGGTCCATTTTCTTACATGAATGAGAGGTCCATTACTAACAAGTCTACTGGACCTCTTTGTAGACAACTCCACTGTTAACAAGTCCAGAACAAGAAGTAATGGGCATGGAAAGAAAATCCATGTACCAAAATTCACAATGAAACAAAGCTTGGAAGAAAACAGAGCAAGAAAATTCATGTACCAAAATTCATGTACCAAGAACTCTACTGTTAAGCTTGGAAGAAAACAGAGCAAGAAAATTCATGTACCAAAATTCACAATGAATAAAATTTGGGTATTTACGGCTTGATCAGAACATATAATACGGTTATCGAAAATTCATCGATAATGGGAGGAACATATATTATTTTGGTAGGGAGGATTTAAAAATATGTTCGATAAATATGTTCTGAGCAAGAAAATCCTACCAAAATAATGGGAGGATTTAAAAATACAATTTTTTTTGAAAAATCACACAGCTACGTCGCCGGAAAAGGATTAATAAAAATCAAAAATCAAAAAATCTGACCTTTTCTTGCTTGTCAATGGAGGAGATTTGGGGATCTAGGGCTTAGGAATGGAGAAGATTTGGGTATCTACGGCTTGGGTAAACAAAGCTTCGTCGTCGAAAAACGCCTACAAACCTCCACCGCCGGCCAATGGGTTGGCTGAATTTAGGACCGAATCAGTTTATGGGTTTCAATAGAGAGAGATGGAAGCTTCATTTTTGGGTTTGAGCCTTGTTAATGGGTTTGTGGGGTTGAATACCGTAAAGTAGAAGAGAGGGAGCGTGAATCACACGCGTCGAGGCATTCGCGCCTCACTTTGTCGAGGCACCAATCTTTTTCCAAAAACAAAAAAAAAGGGTTGATTCTTGGACTATGTCAAGAAGATTGTAAGCTATATAATGGACCTAGGTCTGCCTTTGATTAGGCATAAAATTGGTTGGATAATTGGCATCTTTATACAAAAAAATAAGACTCAACAAATTTTTTTTTAAATTATAATTTAAAATTTATTTTTTATTTTATATAGCTATCTCTTTAAATACACTATCCATTAGACTTCTATTACAAACTTCTATTATAACTCTATTTTATTTATAAAAAAAATCTTTTATTATCTATTCTTTCAATGAATAGTACCTAAATAAATAAATAAATAAAAAGTCAAAAGTGGAGCTAAATTTATCCCCCCCCCAAAAAAATGATAAATTATTAAATAGCCAATGAACTACCTCAACAAATTTGTTACGGTATTGCAACTATAGGAGAGTAAAAATCATAAAGTTGGGTTGACAGGAATAGGTCTGAAGTTTAGGCCCAAGATCAAAACCCCAATTCCCTATCTCCTCCTCCTTTAGGCCTAAAAGGGAGAAAAATGCCCATAAAAAGTAGGTCAGAAGGGAATGACCGTATTGACAGACCAACTACACTATTGCATATTAGTTATTAATCTATTTAAAGGATGAAAAGTGTTTTAAAGCACTATAAGAAAGGTTCTAAAAGAGTTCTAATTTGTCTTCTTTATTACTATGTTTTGTCTTTTTTCCTTTTTTTTTTTTTTTTTGGCATTGCCAGCTTAGTAAAGTTGCTCTACTAGAGCTCTCTATCACTACTATTAAAGGATAATAAGACCCACGTTTATCACAGGGCTAAATCTAACGTGGATGTTTTACGGGTTTTTAATGTTACTCTATAATCCTAAATTGTTAAGAGAGTGAGATTCTTATTGTTGGAAACAAAATTAAATTTTTTTATATTTTATGTTTTGTTTTTTTGTTACTGCATTAAAGAAAAGAAACATAGAACAATGCACTGAGAAAATACAGGTTTTAGTTGAGAAAAATGATATACAAATAGAATTTAATACCAGAATAATGTGATAATAGTATTCTTATAATTACGAACCATGACAGACATTTTAACTTACAAATGAATATAGATATAAACGTGACATATCATACTGAATGAAATTCTTATATACAAATTTTGTTTATATAACGTTACTTTTGAAAGAACAAATTCCAGAAGAGGAGTATTATAGTGATTATGGACATTAATGGAATGGGCCAAAGAATGTTTGAGGAAGAAACCATATCTGACATCTCTCTATTAGTAGTGTGTTGAGATTGGACCATTGGTGGGGCTGGTATTAGTATTGCACCATTTGATCTCTTCGTCCTGCATTCATGCCAAGTTAAATTTTGCCCTACTAGGAAGGAAAAAAAATATTAGAAAGTGCAATGGTTGATTATAACTTTTGAAGTAGTAATTTACTTAAAAAAATACTCATTTAAAATTTGAAATGTGTGGATCAACAATAATGTTATGATGATAGTATTTATGTATCAAATTGTATTTACTATTACATTGGTTTAACGGGACACACCACTGTCTTTCACCAAACGTAGTAAAAACGCATCATATGGTAATGCACAAATGCGGTTATTATAATATTATTAGTGGATCAAATTCATTGTATTGCACCCCATCAAGTTTAAATTTATAAGATAGGTTCAAATTTCAAACATTTTTTAAAAAAAGGCTGAAGATATATGTTCCTGGAAGCGAGACTGGGGCAAAAGATGATGGTATAATCGGAAGCCTTGCAAGTGAAAGTGCTGGTACCATCATCAAATGCATAGCTATAAGCTCTCGGACAAGCAGTCTTGAAAATGGTGGAATAAGAAGAGGGTCTGCAAGTAGTTGGGTTAGCAAACTCCCCACTATAGCAATATTGGTCTAGCCCAAATGCCTCACATGCACTCCTGCATCTGACCACTCCCACTCCACCATTGTCCCCATCGACCACCTGAAGCTCTTTTGGGCAACCTGCAAAGTTTTTATTTATGACAGTACTACTTGAGCATCATCAACAAGACAACCATGAATCTTAGTGATT